AGGTGCCGGGGGGGGAATGGTGGCCGCTCCCCGTCCATCTCCGCTCCCGGTAACGAGGACTTCTTGGGGTGACGCCGCCGTTCCCTTCGGTGAGAAGGGGTTGGCAGAGGTCTGGAAAGCCACGCTTTGGACGCGGTCACTTGTTGCTGAAGGAGGGTGTCAGCTTTTGGAAGGAGGAAGGGGGTCCCCAAGATCTTTCTTCCCTCCCCCCTGCGCTGTGTGTGTGTGGGGGGGTTACGCGTCTTGTCTCGATGCTGTTCCTGCCCACCTGGACCAAAACGCCTCCCTTCTGTTGTCGATAGTTTTGGATGGAGCAACCAAGAGGTTTTGGTGGAAGAAGTTCCTTTCCGAAGAAGCGCTTGTGACACGAGAACCCCAAATTATTTTTGAGCGGGGAAAGTATGACCTGGGCTTAGCTGGCAGGCAGCGGTTCGCAGTAATTAGCCCACGCAGCGTTAACGAAGGTGCGGCCGTCTTGCACGTGGATATGTAACGTGTAAAGCTCCTCGAAACGGTGGGACTTGGTGAGCAGAACCCCTGCCTCGGGCGCTGCACGGCCAGCTACGTTTTCTACGTGTTTTACTTTCATTATTCTGGTTGTTGCTTGAGTGTTGAGGACGTGGTGGTAGAGATGGATTTCGTGGCGAGTCACGTAGCTCCCAAAGGACGTTCACGTTCTGTTTCACGCTGAGGCCTCCGAGCTTCCCCTTCCCTTCCAAAGTAAGGGATGGAAGGAAGAGCCAGCGGAGCGTGTAGGCTGGCTGTATTTCTCATAGCTAATTCATCAAATCTTAAAGCGATTATGGAACGATACTAGGAAACACATGGACAAAAATATCCAGAGTTATGTCCCGCATTCTATAAATTTCAAAATCCCAGACTGGGGTTGTGGGTGGTTGGTTGTTTTTTTTTTTTTTTTTTGGTGAGGGTTTCCTCTTGGAACGAGTTCAAAAAGTGATGTGTACGTCTTGATCCGTGTGGTCAGCCGTGTGAGTGTGGATGTGCAGCTGCGGGAATGCACCCCGCAGCCTCGTCACCGGCTGGACCTGGGGGCACGGCATTGCAGCAGCTTTGTCTCTGTTGGGCTGCCACCTTCGGCAGCCCCTGACACGGGGAAATGACTCTTTTCTGTGAGTTTGAAGGTGCAGAAATCGTGGGTGCTGAAAGCTCGAATTTGGAGCCGGATCTACAAGGACCGCTGTGATAGAATTTTCAGGCGTTTGTTGGCCTGGTCGGTGTGACTAGGGCTGCCTGCGTGAATGTCTCAGTAGATGTGTTTGTTTCAGCTGCCGTGATAGAGCAGTGGAGCGTAATTTAAATTTAAACCCAGGCTCTTGTTGTAGGTGGTTTTTTAAAATAGCATCTGTATTTTTGCTTCAGTGAAAAAAGAAATAAAAACGGGGCTCTTTTAGTGACCTGCTAGGTTTTGCGTTTACCTTTTCCCTCTCTATGTCATAGCATCGCAGGATAGTTTGGGTTGGAAAGGACCTTTAAAGACCCTCTAGTCCAGCTCCCTGCTGTGACCAGGGGCACCTTTCACTGGGTCGGGTTGCTCAGAGCCCCATCCAGCCTGGCCTTCAACACTGGCATGTTTTGTGTGTCTTTGCTCCTGCATAAATCCCTGTATGGAGGAGAAATGGCATGAAAGAGTCTGGGTGGGGATGCTCATCAGGGTAAGAACTGACCTTCCCTTTCGCCGTTGTCTGGTTCTGACGCTTTAGCGTTTGGTTATTTTTGCTGGCGAGTCGAAAGACTTTACTTATGTCAAATATCAAGATAAAAAAATGAAGATTCCTGCCCTGTCTGCCGATGGAGTTTATAGCCATGTGGATACACACACGTGTGTGTAGTGGTCCAGTTTGTTGGTATAAAACTGATACAAAAATGAGCAAATTATTTTAGATTGAAAACTGTAACTAGAGGCCTTTCCTATCAAATCTGCAGTACAGCTGCAGCATCTGCCCCGACCCGCTCCCAGCAATCCCCTCTGCCTGCGGAATACTGCCGTATCAACTGCTGGCTGCCCAGTGTGATGAGAGCGCTTTTTTTCTCTTGTAACATTTCCAGTACACTCGAAGTTTTTTCTTTTCCCCAAAGAATCTAATTTAACATCATTCCATAGCTTAATAAGCAGCAGTTACTTTCAAGTGGTTTTCCTTTTTTTTCTCTCCGAGCAAAAGTAATTTTAACAGCTGTTAGAGCAGATAACTGAAATTGCATGGCAAAGAGACACCTCCTGTGGAGAAGGGGAACAACAGAGACCTTTTTTCTTCTGAAAGGTGCGGTAGCTACGCTGTGTGCACGCAGGGATTTTTATTCCCCTCCCCCTTTTACTGTGCTGAAGGAAGGCACAGTTTTATCCCGGCCCTTTCCCTTTGTGGATTGCAAATTTTGAGGGGACTTTGTGCTGATAGACAGGGAAAGGGAAAACAAAAAATACTAATTTTAGTACAGCGGATGCTTTTCAGGTGGCATAGGCTGCTCGTGCATATAGGCTTTTCCTTGAAAAACCTTGAGGTTTCCCGCCCCCCCTTTTTTTTTGGGGGGGGGGGATGTGTGTTGGTTTTTTTTTGGAAGGCATCTGATCCAAGTCCTCCTGTTTCTTCTCAAGGTAGTGGCACATAAGACAACAGAAATAAAGCTGGAAACCAAGGTGTTTTTTCAAAGCCTGGGTCACAAATGCTGATATTTTCTACTTGAAGATGTGTGAAGGCAATCGTTCGTCTCCACCACGATTAGTACTGAATTGGGGGAAGACAGCGCGTGATTAAAAAATTGCATAATGTGCTTTTTCATATGAAAGAACTGCAGCTCCTTATCAAGCGCAGTTACAATTATGTGAATACGATACAACCTTTAAGTTTCCTGATTTTTATTTTGTGCTGCAAGTTGCATTTCCAGTTTTCTGTCCTTTTTTTTTAGCAGCGTGGAAAGAAAAGCGTATCCCACGTCCGAGCTGCTTCGCTCTCAAACGATCCGGATCCGCACGTGCGCAGCAAATCCGCTGATTTCCAAAAGTGCCAGCCCGGCCGTGGGCACCCCTGCGTTCTGCCCTCTCGGCGCCCCGGGCAGGCAGAAAGCTGGGAAGAAGGTTTTGCTGAGCGATTCCCGCAGCTTGCCTGGGGAGAGGCTTTCCAACAGCCTGCGCAGCCAGCGAGGGCAGTGGGTGCGGGCTGGACGGGTGGTTGTGGTGGCTGCAGCTCTTTTCTCATCGATGGCTCTCATCGATGCTCTGTGCATTCCATCATTTTCTATTTTTGGCTCCCTAATGAGCTAAAGCGGGTTCAGCCCATTGATGCTAAGAACGATCCTGGTGGAGGGAACGTCATCCACTTGTTTGCGAGGCCCTGGCTTGAATCCAGCGCGTATTTCACAGCCGATGGTTTTGTAGTTTGGCCTCAGCCCTTTGCAAACCAGGCAAGGTTTGAAAAGGCCTCAGGCCTCAACAGCCTGAAACTGGTTTGCAAATGTTTCATACGTAAAAATTCGCACTTGTTTCGGATGTAGAAAGCTCACTTCATGCAGGCGTAGGTGCTGATTTAGGTGCTGATTTTGTTTCATTTTATAAAAATGGTCAGGCAAGTGCTTTAGTGTTTGAGGAGCCGGGGTGTGGCTGAAGCGAAGGGGGTTTTATTACTGTACTGCAAGGTTTATGACATGTAGAAGAGGCCTCGAGGCTGATGCGTTTCCTTCTCCTCTTCCTCCAAGTGCCTTTTAAAAATGGGTGTTTCTGTACGAAAATTCAGATGTTGTCTTGCTCTTTCTTGTGAAAGCCGATCCTCAGTACTTCCTAAAAGGGGAAGGAGAAACGCTGAGAGTAGATTGGCTTTTATAACTCTTCAAAATCTGCTTGTGTTTGTCATCTGTGAGAGAATTCCTGTAGTATACTTCCTCCTGCAGTTTAAGTGCGTCTCATGACCTGTTGTATCGTGACACGTAGATCGCCTTTGATCATGTTTTGGCTTTGTATCGCTTGTTAAAGCGCAGATTTCTTGGGACGAAGAGAGGACAGAAGTTAACATGTATTACAATTTTGTAATTGAGATATTGCACTTTAAATGTATACATTCGTGTGTAAATACTGTATGAACATAACGAATGGGTTTTGTATGTGCAGTCACTGTTGTGATTTATGACTGTCCTTTATAATTTTAAGCTAAAGAATATACAAGAGGCTTTTTGCACTGAAGCTACCAACGGTTGGACAATTTTATATGAGTATTTGCATTGCTCTTGTTCTCAAACTTCCCTGCAAGCCCAGGGGAGCTGAAATCTGAGCTAGAACCAAGATCTCTACTTCCAGAGGTTTATCCCTTGGTTTCTTCCTATAGTTTTAGATTTGGTTTTTGTGTTAAGCAGCTTTAAGCTTAATCTTTTTCCTTTGTTTTTGGCAGCGTATTACCTTCAGGAGATGGCCTCTTCTAAGTCTTTGATGAACCTTCTGACCTTCACTTTTGGATCAGCAATAGGATTTTTCGTGTGCTATCTTCTCTTCAGCATTATACTAGAAGAGCAGGTTAAGATCCAGCCTCACATCCTTCACAATGATCCACATGGCCAACACTCAGCAGATACCGATAACAATCAGCTGCAAGGGCAGATGAATTTCAATGCAGACTCGGGGCAGCATAAAGGTATTTCGTTACACCCGACTATTTATAGACTATATCCCCTTTTCAGGCGTTGCAAAATGTTGCTTTCGTCCCTGCCAAGGATTTCTGTGAATCCTTTTCTTTCCCTTTGCCCACGTTCAGGTTACATCTAAACAATTTGGTTCTCCTGAGGTCTACTGAATGGTGGTTTTCTTTGCTTACATTTTTATTACAGTAGTGATTTTTTTCCCGTGGAGCCCAACCGTGTGGCCAGCTTCTGTATCCAGGCTTGTTTGGAGCAGGAGCTTCTCGAATGGGCTGTTGACATCAAGTGGTGGGTTTGCTAAGCAGATGGGGTTGCCAGCATTGAGGACGTGGCTGAACTGCTTTTTAGCTTTAAGAAACTAGTGCTGGACCACTTCTAACTGCTGATCCAGCCTCTTAGATAAAGCTAAAAAAAAAAAAAAACAAATAGGAAAAACTCGCTTTTTGACGCGATTAGTAAAAGTCTGAATTGGGGTGGGGGGCAGAGGGGGTCACGAGGGCATCGTTTGCCAGGCTGCCTGCGCAGCAGTCCGAGCGCAGGTTGCTGTCTGCAGGCAGAAACGGAGAAATTCTGTTGCGCTCTGATTTTTTGCTTTGCTTTGCTTTGCTTTTTTTTTCCCCCCCAAGACAGTAGACCCTTCTAAAATTTCAGGCGTGCTCTTACATTTGACACGTCTCTCATTAAATGGGTTCATTCTAAATCCCAAATACAGGTAGCGTCCGAGTTTGGATGAGCAAAAATGCCCTGTCGTGCATTTGCTGAAGAAGATGTTAATCAGTAATTTGCTGTTTGAACTTCAAACTTTGCCAGACAAGTCTGTGAGCGTTTCACGTGTAATGGCAGAACGTTGTGACGGAGAAACCTGATCGGTCGTTGCGTAAGGTGTGAGCCGGAATGTTTTAGGACCAGTTACGCAGATCTCACCGTGGAATGTTCTTTTAAAGGAGTTAAAATCGCTCTGTATGTATCAAGCGAAGCTGTTTTCTTTGAGGCAAATGAATGCTTTGGCAGCTTGGAAAACATTGTGTTACACACCTCAGATAACTCTGTTTATTCAGTTGGATTGTCTGCAAATAAAAACATTTTAGCACAACAATAGTACTAGTTCCACAGACTCCCAACTTGCTTCATCTGACTTTTTACAAATAAGATTTAACTTGATTTGGCGGTAAATTCTTTCTTTCTGGCTTACCATCTGCTTTTTCCTTCAAATATATGTTACTGCTTTAGAAATAGTTACTAGGTTTTGTCAGTTAACATGAATATGTATAACAGGGCTTATTAGATTTTTGACCTTTCTGTGTTGGAATCATTACGTGTGTTCATTGTGAATGGCAAAAATATTCACCTTCTTAATTTTCACTAGTCCTCCAGCACCATAGAGAGGTTGCCTCCAAACAGTTTTTAGGTACAAATCCAGGTTTCCTGCAGCCACGCCTCCCTGAACAGATACAATTTTGGTGCGGCTCTTAGGCTGTCCTGCATCCCGTGAAGCTGAAGTAGCTTTAAGAATTTGACTTTCTTGGTTTTGGCAGGCTCGTTTTTTTTCTTCCTAATTCTAATATTAATTTCCTCAACTGGTACGTTTGGAAGCAAAAGCCTCTTCTCTCTCTGTTTGTCTTTTCTGATCTAGAAACAGAATGTCTGGGGGGAGGTCGCTGTGGGTTTCGCAGTCAAGTCTAATATTGTTTTCGAACTTTTCCTCTTTATTTTTTTTTAGATGAGAATAAAAATGTTGCCGAGGGACTGTATCAGAAGGTGAAAATACTGTGTTGGGTCATGACAGGACCTCAGAATCTAGAAAAGAAAGCCAAGCATGTTAAGGCCACTTGGGCCCAACGTTGTAATAAAATACTTTTTATGAGCTCTGAGGAGAATAAAGACTTCCCAACTGTGGGCCTAGAAACCAAAGAAGGCAGGGACCAACTGTACTGGAAGACTATTAAAGCTTTTCAATATGTGTATGACCATTATTTTGATGATGCTGATTGGTTTATGAAAGCAGACGATGATACATACGTTATATTGGACAATTTGAGGTGGCTTCTTTCAAAATACAGTCCTGAACAACCGATATACTTTGGAAGGAGGTTTAAGCCTTACGTGAAGCAGGGCTACATGAGCGGAGGGGCAGGATATGTTCTGAGCAAAGAAGCTCTGAAGAGGTTCGTTACTGCATTTAAAACGAACAAGTGCTCCCACAGTTCCTCTATTGAAGACCTAGCACTAGGAAAATGCATGGAGATCATCAATGTGGAAGCAGGAGACTCTAGGGATACAAGCGGTAGAGAAACCTTTCATCCCTTCGTTCCAGAACATCACTTAATCCGAGGATACCTGCCCAAAACATTCTGGTACTGGAATTACAATTATTACCCTGCTGTAGAGGTAAGTCCTGAGGCACCTGGTACCCGTTTTAGGAAGTCCACGTTAGGGTGTGCCTGAATGCGCGTGGTGTGTGAATGAGCAGTTCAGCAGCAGCTTGATTTATTGTAGGAAAGAAGGTTTTCGGTGGGATTCGCTGTGATACCCCTGTGTGTAGACGTGTTAAATGCAGTAACCAGCTGAAAGTGGATGCCCAGCGCTCAGGGTTCCCGAGGAGCTCGTGAGCCCTGGGTTACGATTGCTGTTTGCCGTGCTCCGCGGGCAGGAACACACGAAGAGACCTTTTTTTTTGACGCGTTTGCCTTGCGTCACCACTGCCACCTTCCTGGCACCATTCCGGGTTGTTCCCTCGTGTCTCCCGCCCAGTGTCCCCGGCTTCTCCTCCCGCCACCCAGCTGCCAGCACCGAGCCCAGCGTGAGTCACCCCAAGGGGTGGGTGTGCTGGCGGTGCGGCGTTGGCACGGCGAGCCTGCCGAAAGGGAGCCTGGCGCTGATAACGCCTTTCTCTTCTACCCAGCAGCAAACCTGGCGTAAAACCTGTAGAAAGAGAACTCCTTCTGAGACTTGCTGGTGGTCGCTCTCGGTGAACGTTGTCTAAGAGACTCCCAAGTTACCGGAGGGGCTGGGGGGCGGTGGTGTGGGGGGCGGTGGCGCCCGCTTTCCCCTTCGCGTGCTGCCGACGCTTCTCTTATCACCGCGAGCCGCGTGCAGCGTTAGCTGCCTCCAGCCCCGGCGGCTTTTTACTGCAGGTTGTTAGAGCGCGTGTGTAAGTGGATTCCATGGTAAAGATTACAGCGGAATGAACGTTGCCTAGAAGTGAAGTCAAAGCACGACCCAAACACGGAAATACGATTAGTTCGCCTTGCGCGCTTGCGTTGGACTCGTCTCCCTTCTGTAGGAGCGGAGGCAAGCGTGAGAATTTTTTTCCAAAGTTCTTTTGCTGTAGCAACAAACCCAGTGTTTACAAGCTGAAACATTCTTTCTACGAGAACTTCACCTTGTCCATTGTGTTCCGCAGCTGAAATCTCCGGTTTAAAAAAAAAAAAAAAGGAAAAAAAAAGAAAAAAGAAAAAGAAAAAGGGAGTGGGGAGCAGGGCAGTACTTGATGTTAAGGCCATCTGAAGGTGTTCTGCGTTGGAAGCGTCGATGATCGTGTAATCTGTGACGTGGCTTCTGTTTTAGGATTGCATTCTCACTTTTAAAAGTTTTATTTTTCAGCAAGCTTTGAGATCACCGTAAGTGGCCAAAATCAGCGATAGGACGTGGGGGTTTTTTAAACACAGTAAAGCCAGGGGGAAAACCAGTCTCGTTCTTCAGTAGGTTCTTTTCGCCGTAAGGCGTCTATTTTTGTACCTGTGTTCAGCGCTGGAGCATTTCTGTGGCCTGAAGCAGCCGTGGTGCTGTCCGTAGTGTGCTGGATGCAGGAGCCGTCGCCGTGGCTGCAGCTGACGGGTGGCTGGGCTGTGGGCAGCTGCACCCATAACTGCTGCAGGGGCGGTGGGGATCCGTAATGGTGTTTGGGTAGAAAACGAAGATAGTTTGTTTTGTCAAAAACAAGCTGTATTGGTCAAACTTAGTAGGTGTTGAAAGAATAAGTTATATAACAATTGTTCTCTTCAGTGTCTTTAAATATTTGGTCTTAGTTCCAATTCGAGCTGGAATATTAAGCCAGCTCTGCAATCCAGTCGGATGAAAAACGCCCCACAAAACCGTCTTCCAGAAAAGCATTCTCAAAGCTGCGTTTCAGCTAGAAAATGCAAGTTGTAACAACTGTGTTAGCAATGACCTTTTAGCTCTTAAAAATGCCGAATAACATCGATGAAATGAATAAACGTAAAAAAAAAAAAATAAAATAATAGCTCTGAAAGGCTTTGTTACAAGTCGCTGTGTGTAGGAAGGCAGTGGTGACAGGCTGGCCGGGCTGGGTAACGTGCAGAGCCGCGCGTTGGGCTGATCCGCTCGGGCTGCCTGCCGTCGTGAGGGACAGGCCCGTATCGCTCCGTGGAGAGACGCGGTGCGGTCGGACCCGCTTGCTGCTGCTCGGTGTGGTGTAGAGAAGTATGGAAAAGCCAAAAAAACCCCACTGACGTTAATGAGGGCAGCTGGTTTTTCCACTGGCTGAAGCAAAAGACTTTGTCCAGCTTCATTTTGGAAAGATGCTTTGGCAAGTGTGTCTGATAGTTTTGCCTGCCTACCGTTACGTTTTGAGGTGTATGTGTGACTGATGATAGCGAATTTCTTACCGTGAAGTCGGGTATGTGTTTGAATTCTTCCTGGATCTTTAATCCAGGCCGTGCTTTGATATTCTAGCCGATTCTTTTGACCTGTTTTGTGTTTTAGGGTCCCGGATGCTGCTCCGACCTAGCGGTTTCATTCCACTACGTTGATTCCATCACGATGTATCATTTGGAGTATTTGATTTATCATCTCCGTCCGTATGGGTATTTGTATCGCTACGATCCTGATGCGGCAAAGAAGCCAGAAGAGCAGAGCGAAAACGAAGCACCGGCGGATAGTCAAAAGCTAAAGCAAAAAATTTCTGAGAATTAATTGGACTTTGAAGAGAACAAAGCCAGTGCAATGGATAAGAGCCTCCTCAGACTCCTGCATGAAGCTTGTGGACTAGAATTCCTCGTGGCGATTCTTGTTTCAGAACTCACGTCGGCAGTGCTTCCCGTGCGCGCCAGAGTCCGGTACTGGCTCGGACCGTTTGGGATAGCGGGACCTCGCAGCCCTGCTCGTGAGGATTGGGGGCCCTAAAGCTGTGAAATAAGAGGTTGTTCCGGTACGCTGACATCTGGAAGAACTTGGGTAGAAACCATAGCGGACGGGTTCAAAGATAATCGTGCAGTATTTCTGTCCTTTTTCTGTTCTCCTCTATTTCCTTCCCGGTGTTGGTTAGATCAGCTCTCATGTTAGAAATTGGATCCTGCACAGTCAGATACGTCACGGTGGCTTCCTGGAGCGTTCCCGGTATCTCCAAGTTCCTTGGTGGACCTTGCCGTGTAAGGAAGGGAGAGGCCTGGAAATAGAGTCTCAAGTCTGCTTTGCCTTAACGACAGCCTGGTTGTGCGACTCGGCAGGGAGCCACCCCAAAGGTCAATCTGAATTGTCTTGGAAATGGAATTCACTGCTAGGAGTTATTTTTAAAATTTTTAAGGCTCTGTTGTCCAAAACAATATGAAGTTGGATCACTGCTGTTTTAGGGGAAAAACCCAGAAATAGTTACTATTGTGCAAATTGCTGAGGTGATGCAAGCTGCTTATGTATTTGCCTGTGGCTTTTTTTTTGATTGTTGTTGTTTTAACTTATCCTGTTGGTCGAATGGATATAAAAGTTCATCTCAGAATTTCTCAGCATAAGCTAAGCTAGATGCTTTTCGAAACAGAAGTCTCTCTTCCGTCCCACCTTGCATGTGAACCAGAAAGAATAGTACCTTAGCAAAGTTACAGTGGCATTATAATAACTTGGTTTCGGCCAGTATTATAATTAGTTGTTCCCAGTTAATTTTCACATCACTGTACTTTGAGATTAGCTTGTTCATTAAAATTTTAGAGATACAAACAAGTCCCATTTTAAAACTGCAGCAAAACCGACTTGGCTGCTTCCCCACACATCTAGTTTATTTGGCTGAAGTGCTTGATTTCACTTTTCTGAACGTTTTTTTTTTTCTCCTCCATTTTTAAAAATTTCTTCTGCATCTGCCTCTTGTTACCTTTTTGAGAACAAAGTGTTCAACGATCGTTATTTCACTCTTTTTGACGCCGAAGTACGTAGTTATTCAGGTAAGCCAGCCTGAATGCCGGAATCTTTCACAGTGCATTAACTTACGCCGTACTTTTTGAGTATCTCTGCCTCTTATCTGAAAATGTTTTCCTGGTGTGGGGCAAAATAGGTGTTTTAATGACTGAAAAATTTTCAGAGGCCAAACTTGTGTTTGATGGAGTTAACGTAAATCTTTCTGGTTTTCTCTTTTTCAAATTGAGTGAAGGGCAGTATGGGGGATGTGGTTAAGCTTGACGTGTAGCGTGTCTTTACTCCACACTTGAACAGACGTTCCTTCATCTTTTTATCTCTTCTCACCTTCATCATATTGATGAATTTGGACAAAACCTGATTACCTCCGGTCACTGTTCTGGAAAGGGCGCGTGGTGGTAGCAGACAGCCTTACTTACTGCTGCTCTCCTTCGGGATGTTGCTGGAAGAGGATGTGGCCGTAAAGTACTGGAATGTTTTCTCCAAAGACAGTTCTTGTAGAGATTGGGGTTCTACCTGTGTCCGACAGCAGAGTCGTGGCTTCCTTTCCGCCCATCGCTCCGCAGCGTGGTGACAATTACCGAAATATCTCGTGGAGCTGAAATAACTACGTCCATCTTCCTTGAATGTAGGCTGGGTTCATCTGTCGAGCATTAGCTAAAATAGTTCCTGCAGGGTTAAACCTGTTGGTCTTTTATGAGCAAGGCTGCCTCTGAAGTACTGAAAGGGGCACGAGCTTCCTTGCCTCCAGCAGAAAGTTATAACTGCACTTGTTTAAAAAAAAGGAGAAAGTCTCCGGTTTGCTCTAGTCAGGGGGATGCTGGTCCAGAATGGATGTACCGTGCTGAGAGGTGCTTCCTTCTGCCACCTAAAGGTTAATCCCACGTGCAGCACAAACCAGTAGTGCTGTGAAATCCAGATTGTACTGGTAACCGCGGTGGCGCTGTTCAAACAGGCAGTTAAAAGTTTTCTGGAAGTTCTAAACCGAAATCAAGGGCCCAACTTAACCTCTTTGTAAGTTCAGCCCATGTAGAAGATCTGCTCAGCCACTGGGCTGTTCCTTTCTTCCTGCTCTCTTCCTCGCTTCATCCGTGGGGATTTAGAGGTTCTCCACCCCAGCAGGCAGAACTCGCCTTGAGTGCTTGCTGCAGATCCCACGTTTGCGCTGTGCCGCCCTCTGAAGTGCCGTCCTCTCCTCTCCGCGTTCCTCACCGTCCTCACTACCCCGTCTCTGGGTTTCGGTTTCATCGTGCCTAAGTCTCGTGGACAAGAGGAGGCGGGTCGTGAGGTGCTGGAGCTCCCCACAGGTTGGCTGCTGAGGTGGCAAGTCAAAGGGGGGAGGCCTTTGCTCAGCAGCGGCTCTGGTTCTCGCCCGCTGCCCAGCCGGGGCTCGTGGCTTTGGCAGAGCAGGGCAGAAGTATCCCTTTCCACAAAACGTGCAGGACCTCAGGGAACCGAGAAAGAAAGTTCCATTTCTTGGGGGAATCAGGCTGAGAACATACTGCCTTGTGATGAGTGGGCGGCCCGTCTGGAGAAACGAGAGTAGCCTTTTCCTTCAAATGTCCGTTCTTGCTTTGTTTGGAAGTGTCCTTGCGCTCAGGCCTCTGAACCAACTTCTTTTGCCTTTCCGACAACACTGCAAAGAATTTTTTTTTTTTTTCCCTTCCAGACAAGCTAGAAACATCCTGTGATTACAACAGAGGAACCGTTGTTCCCTGCCGAATTGTGTTGCCGTGACGATGAGCTGGTACCTCTGCGATAATGCCGTTGCATCTCACTCCCCCCAAAAGCTTCGGCAGGCGGGGCTGGAAGGCGAGCAGGCAGCGTCCTTTGCACGGACAGTAATACACTGGTGTTGGTGGGTTGTTAGTGCACGCGCAGGACTTTGTGCTTTGAGAAAGGATTTACTGAGTTGGGGTGTTTCTGCAGCCTGAGGAGGCGGTTGTGTTTCGGGGGGGGATAGAGCACAGCAGCTCTTTGGCGATACTGGTTCTTGCTCTGGGTTCCTGGTTTTGTTTCTAAAAGGTTTCTTCATTGTAGAAAAGCCTCCATTGGCACTACAGTGATTTCAGTGACCCATCTACAACTTTTAAACTCCTTTTCTTGAAATTACTAGGCAGCCGTCCTTTGCCCTCGGTGGTAGGAAGGTCACTGAGCGTGGCAGGGGAACGTTTCATCCTCGTGTTACGTGGCTTTTAGTTCAGAAAGGGTGACAATGCCAAGAAGTTGCCTTGGGATCACCGCCCTTCGTCGGAGGGTACTATTAAAGGAGAAGACCAGCTTTAATCTTCTTTCACTCCCAGTTCGTTTTTGCAGGCTGTCCTGGTCTCATTCGGGAGGTTAAACGCTGGTGATGTCAGCACCATCTCTCATTTTGTGGAAGCCCTTTTCCCAGTACCTCTTGCCTTTAAGGACACTTTCTCTGCTTTCCTTTGGTGGGGATATATATTAAAAATCACTTTTTCTTCACGTGTTGCCATTTGTTCTGTGAGGCTTCCAGAAGTATAAATTTGAGTGAGTAGCTGCTCGACCTCTTACCAACAGTTGGCTCTCTGAGCAGGGTGGTTTACCTTTGTGTGACAGAAAAGGGTGGGTTATTTCTCTGATGTAGCTGCTACTGATGGTGATCGTGCACGCACCGGTGAAAATCGATCCCTCCACACAGGACCGCTGGGAGAGGCAGTTTTGTCCTTCTTTCTGTCGAGAAAAGCTTCTGTGGAACTCCAAAAGTGTAATTTGCTCTGCTTTACCATACTGTATTTAAGATACCCCGCAAATGTTATTGATGTTCCAAAAGAATTGAATATTGATGCTCTAAAAGAATTGAATATTGCTGCTGGACAGTGCGCCCCACTTAAAACCTGTGAATGTTTCCCTTTGCAGTTAGAGGTAGTCGTGTCCCTCCTGGCAGGTAGGAGTCGGTGACTTGTCTGGAATGATCACCATAAGGATTTGTTTCTTAAATACCTTCTTTGAAGTGCCTTGGACCAATTTTTAGCATCAAAATTAAGTTGAGAATTGAATAAATAAAATAAGTTATCTCATACACCGTTCACGTCTGTCTTCATTTACCCCTCCTGTGTGCTGGGAGTGCAGCACAGCGGCACCCTTCAGGCTAATTAAAACTTCCTTAGGTTTTTTTTCCTTGGCTGTGTCCAGGAAGCTCAAAAAGCTTCTCACGCTTGCAGTGGCTTTTGTTGTTGGATTTATGCTCTTAGCAAATGGCAAGCTGCCTGGAAAACAAAGATGGTTTTTTTTTTTCTTTTAAGTGTAAAACTGATCAGAAGTGCGAGGACCAGAGTGTCGTGAGCAGGCTCTTGTTCTGCCTCGTCTTGATCTTTCAGTGTCTCCACGTTGCTACAGAGCCCTGAGTGACCGAGTGTAGCGGATACCTCAGAAAGAAAGCGAAACTGTTCAAAATTAACTACCTTTTTTTTTTTTTTTTTTAAAAAGATTTATTCTTTCAGTGAACCTCTTCTGCAAAAAACCCACCAAACCCTGTTAAGATGTTGTGCTCTCTAACCTCCCTTTCTGCTATTCGCGCAGAGTCGTGCTCAGCAGTGAAGAACATTCCCCTTCCAGGGATGGGAGGTGGCCTCGCCTGCGAACGCTCTCTGAAGTTCCGGGCGTGAGTAACGCCGCCTTTTTTTTACACGAAGCTGCTGTAACTCACGCTGCCAGGATTGAACCAGATCCAGCGAGCTGCAGGGCGATGGGAGCACTGGAGCACAACAAAAACCACAGCTACTACTCTGGAGAAAAACTTTCCTAAGTGTGGGCTTGCTCTGCTTGCC